TTTTTTTTTTTTTTTTTTTTGGCAAGGAGGAAACCTTCAAAAAGGCCATCGTGCCACCGCTTGACGACTGGGCGCACAGTCGCGGTGACACGGTGTGTGGGATTCTTACCGCACTAAAACCTCCTTAGACGCCTTGCCCTTTTCCCCCGGAACCACTTGTCGTATTACTTCGGAGGGGGCCGTGCATTACGCACCTCACTTTACCTCAGCTAATTGGCGCTTCCAGTTCGCTGATCGTCTCTCCAATTTGTGAGCCATTTATCTCCCAGCGTCACGTTCTACTCGGTTATCCCTGGTGGTGGATACAGGTGTGTGTGTGTGTGTGTGTGTGCGAGTGTGTGTGTGTGTGTGTGTGTGTGTGTGAGAGTGTGTGTGTGTGTGTGTGTGTGAGTGTGTGTGTGTGTGTGTGTGTGTGTGTGTGTGTGTGTGTGTGTGTGTGTGTGTGTGTGTGTGTGTGTCATCCTCTATCCCTCACCCAGCCGGGGGCGTTGGACAAGTAGAACTGCGAATAATTTGATCAAATCTCATGCTCCGTAATGGTGCCCTTTATGTTGTGAAGACTAGTACTTCAAAAAGAGTAACTTTTGAGGCAAGACAGGGTGTCCTCAACAGGTTAAGGGAACAGGATGCACTAAATGTCCACAACAGGTACAGCAAAACATTACATAGACGCCCTTATTCACACTAACTACTCTGGGGGTAGAAGGTCAAGAAGAGCCACCGCCGCCAACTAAAGCTTGAACCGGGTACCTGGGACTTCCACGATATACCCGCGGCAATGGTCAGCAGACGACGCCCTGTGCGTATTTAGTATGTAATATGTTTTATTTGGATACACAAAATGTTTGAAGCCATGCGTCATCTAAACCATAATTTGCATCACCACAAATACACTTGTCAACAATCTTCAACTGGAACGTACTTACCAAATCACTTCACCCGGGAGCGCATTCCCTATGCTTCCACGCATATTTTTCTCTCCACTCCAACCACACAACAACCAAATATCACTTTTCTTTTTCAAGTCACTCCGTGCACAAAAGCAATGCACATCGCAAAACCCTAACAATAGATCAGCGCCGTTCTCATCAGCGCGTAAATAAACAGAAATTAAAATTTTCACTCGCGATGCCACAAATTTCTGGTCCGGGAGAAACAATCAAACCACGCAGCGCCAAATCTTCTGATGCTTGCAATTTTGCAACATGATGAATCATGTTTTCTTTCTCGATTCTAAAACTTCTCGGAAAGCTAGAAAACCACCACTCACACACGTATAACCGTCCGGGAGGCAGAGTGCCAGCGCTAATCCGGCAAATGCAGCCGAAAACTATGAAAGCGAATGCACGCACAAAACAGAGAACAAACTTAACACACAACCGTATCCAAAGGCGTTCGAAACTCGACTCATCTATGAACTAAATCCTACGTGACTGAAAAATAGATCTTTCCTTATGTTGTATTGATGCATGTTTAACTTCTCGCGGCTGTCGGAGTCAACGCCCCTACGTCTACGGAGCTTACGCAGAAGTAATTCGCAATTCGATAGAGCTTACCAAAAGTTTTTTTTTAGCTTATGTAGTTTAGAATTCGTTCGGTACGGCCGCGTAATTTTGAAATGATTGATACGTGCGGTAAAATAACTAAATTGAAACAAAGCTTAATAGTAAAATAAGTAGAATATCTAGGCAGGAAACCAAAATTAATCAACTTGCCAACATAGGCTATCACATTTATTTTTGTGGCACTCTTTAAATGATAATAAGCATTTTTCTCGCTTCGGTTGTCCCGCACGGCTCTCGGAATTCGCGCGATTTTCGTAACTTTCATAATTTAGATATTTCGTTCGAAACGGATTTACTTATTCAATCGGTTTACTACGCGGATGTATCTACGCGCTCACGTCACAGCATTTTTTCCATAACTATCTTGAAACAATACATACGGAATCTAGTGTTTTGATTCAAAGCAGAGCAGAACTCTCAGTAACGAATTCTAAATAACTCATTCAAATTTCAAATTATTTCCAGCTTACACATTCCATATCATTTTGTAGCATCGTGGCCATCTCAATCCAAAAAACATCCAACCACCTACCTCAATCTAATCATTATCCCTTCCCATGGCGATCATGTAGCCTGCATGTGGCGAGTCAGCCGTTACCGCTCCTTTACTATCGGCCTTGGATTAACTTGCGCTCTTACTGCCCCACCCTGCGCTGCAAAATGAAAATGAAAATGAAAAATGACACAGAATATGCTTCGCCGAAGATTCTCTGCCTTTTTTGTTGACCGAAGGCGCTTGACGCCCAACAGCTAAGTGTAAAATTTAAGACTTATACATTTTTAGTAACTTGACGATGCTTTCCTAGTTATTTTCGTTTGTAACTGTAGTATATGTAGTCTGTATAATCTGTACTTTTTTACAACACATCGTTGGGACTATTTCTAGTCTGTTGATGCAAACATAACAAATAAACAAATAAACAATGGCAACTGACAAACATAAAGACATCAACAAAGGCAATGGCACTGACTGACACTGATTCTCAAAAAAATTCAAGAAAATCATGATTACGAATGAATTGCAAAACATGGTCCCCTGTACGTTCATTTTCCAACTTTTACTATTACTACTGTTACTCCGACTATCCCCTACTTGAAACACTATTCCACCTTATCCGGCATCTTAAGCAGGATTCACTTGATCCCTGTGATCATTATTCTGTGGTGCCACATATTTACCTCTACCCTTGTGCTGTATGGACAGTGATGTATCACTGGAGACCTGGGCCCATGACCCCCTTCTGTGCTTGAAAATGAAAATGAAATATTATCAGTTGTAGTCCACTGTTCAAATTGCACTTCTAATATTTGTTTCACTTCCAACTTTTCTAATAATTTTGTTTCGGATAATGACGTATCGTAACAATTCTTACACGTTCGAAAATGGCAAAAGTCTGTTCTAGATTGTAAATCGCAAAGAAGTTGTTCCATATAAATAGTGCGATCACACAATATGCTATCTTTTTTCAGGCTGTTCAACATTAGATTTACAATTTCGTGCATTCAATCATTCGAAGGCGTTTCGTGATGGTAAACGATAAACTTGAAGACGGCATCTACTACAAATTTTCAAAGAATTATCCAGATGTATTTTGCAAACAAAACATTTTAATTTTTCTATAACTCCATCTGACCTGTTTATATTTTTTGCCTCTGTTATGACATACACAATTCATAAAGTGCACAGCAAAATATTAATTTTAATATTACATCCAAAAAGATGCACTTCAATCTTGTCAAAAATCTCATGTAATTTGTATGGCCACAAAAATAAACAAATACAGTAACAGCAGCGTAATGTCAGTTCATGTACTGTATTAATGATAATTTTGTCCTTTTTGGCTAGTAATATTTCACCATATTTTTGACACTATTGAAGTGATCCACTTTGATGTGATAGGAGAAATGGCTCTACCCAACAAACAATTTGAACTGATTTACAGCTGAATAAGAAATTTTTTAGCTGGAGAAGCTTATTTTTGCCTGAATAAGCTCTTATTAAACATTCAATGTTTGTTGGGTAATGTTGGCCTATGGATCTAAAGTTGGGCCTATCTGCTATTTATCCATTTTATTTAGATGAACCCGTCATTCGGATGGTATTAATGGATATTTTTGGTCGCTATTCAAAATTTAGTCGATTGCTGAATTTATGTATGAGTCCAAATTAGAGACATTTAGGCCGACTTTACATCCATTTCCCCTATCAAAATTATTTTTTGCTGTGTATATTGGAGAGTATTTACTTATAATCTTTTTTCTCTTCCGCGCGTCTAAAAAGAAACGGGTAGGTCTGAAAGCTACCATAGTTGAGAATGAATTTAATATACAATCATGAAAAAAAAACATTTCTTTGCTGGGCAACACGACGAACATTTGAAAATGGTCTAAAATGTTGAAAATTATTATTACTATTATTATTATTAATTCGCATTAACTTGAGAACGGCTGGACTTGGGAAAAAAAAGTCTATATATGCAAATTTATCGAAAATTATGCGTAGAATCCAAATAAATTATTATTTATTAAAAAATATCCAATTTGATGAAATTAACAAAAAATTAAGAAAAAAATATAGATTATTTTTAAGCAAGTAGCCAGTTATTCATTTCTTCAGTTTTCTTGCTAAAAAAAATTTATAAAGATCGAAGGGAGAGGGGCGGGGGGTGTTTTGAAATAATCAACGTTTTACGTTTTTTAATATTAATTTACTAAGTTTGTTTCTTTCAGTGTATTTTCTCCTAAAAGATAGTTTAACTACCTACAACTTCTTCTCAAATGTCGTTTTGATCAGATCATTAGTTTTCATGTTATGATTTTTTGAAAAAAAAATAATAATTTTTTTTAATACGCCCTTTTCAAAAGTTACTGTGTAGAAAATAAATTAAATATGCAACCATTGGTAGCAGCGAACATATGAGTAATGTTCTAATCGGAAACACTCATGTCCAACCGGTTTGCGTTCGGCTGGAAATGCTCTATAAGAATCTGAAGGATCGAAGAGGAATTTTCCAAATCGATATGCAAGCAGGTTTACCTCGGATAGCGTCCAAACAAGGATCGAATAATAGTGGAAGAAAGTAGAAAATTTACAGGAATATTAAGCACTGAAAAGTGCTGTTTAAATTTTTCGGAGCTATAGGTAGCAGTAACACTTCCTTCAGCAAAAAGCAAATATTTCCGCACGTCACGGATGCGGACTGAAGCAGTAGGGTGATGTTGCGTGCTGTACCATCATCAGCATTGTTGACGGTTACTCCCGCCTTGAGTTGTTACATTCAAAGTGTTTTTTGTTACTTCATACGTGAAGTTTACGATTTTCAGTGTTCAGAGCTTTCTCTCGCAATTTTATTTTTGGCCTTTATGATTTTATACTTTAGTTAGTTTGTATTCCTATGCATTAAACGATAATAATATTATTTGAATATTTTTTAGGTGTCGCGGACGGTGTTGGAGGATGGCGCAGTTATGGAATTGATCCCGGTGAATTTGCTTCGTTTCTGATGAAAACATGCGAACGGCTAGTGCAATGTACCCACTTCAATCCTACAAGTCCAGTAAATTTGCTTTCTCATAGCTATTGTGAATTGTTAGAAAATAAAAGATCGATATCAGGTGAGTACCGTGCTTTCAAATCATTTGAAACTCGGGCAATCTTTTCATGAAAGTTCAACACATCACACGATGTACACTAACCGACATAAGTACTTCGCTTGACAAAGTATTTCAACACTCATATTGAATATTGCATCACCTTGAAAAGTTGAGCAATATTTAAAGATAATCTGAATACGTGGGGTGATGCAAAAAATTTCTAGCTGATGTACCGTGTGGTCCCCTTTCACAGCTCACTCTAGAGCAAAATCAAGTTCACATTGTTAGTAAAATTACTTTTCCTAAACATATTGAGCATAGTTTTTTGCTCATTATCATAAAATTGTGGATAAAATATGAAACATCCAAGACAATGCTGTTAAAATTTGTTTATTTTTTTATTAATGCAGGTAACGAGTCCCATTCACCGCTCATGACGTAGTGAACATAATTTACTTTTTGAATTGTCGATCTTTTCTGGCCATTTAACGCATTATATGGGTTGTAAGTTTATTGAGGTATTAGATATTGATTAAGATGATTCTTTGAAGAGTCCAATAATGGCAGTCGTGATGGCTAATACAGCCTATCACTTCAAGTTTTCTAGAGCACAAATCTTAGACACTGTTCCGACATCACCCATGAAATTGGAACTCCATGTGTGTTGCAGTGCAGCAAATGTGAAGGTTCAGTTTAACTGTTGTATGTTCTGTGAGAGCTGATATTTCTGTCTAGAAATTTCGAGGTGATAGTGCGATTAATCAGAAATATGAATTCTAAAGCGATTCACCTTAACACTCGCCTTTGTTATGAAATATTAGTAGTCATGTGTATTTTAAGTTTATATTTGTAGTGAGCGGTGAACGGAACCCTTGATCGTTGATGGTCCATTCACCGCTCATATGGATGTGAACAAAGGTATTTTTCAACTATTTTTGACAAAATGAGCGATGAATGAAGGTCGTGTGGTGAACGGGCACAACACTGTATGAGTGTTGCAATACTTCTTCAAGCGCTCATATACTTATGACGGGTAGTGTAGTTAATAACCCCAAGGATTTTTTTCAACTGTTTAAAATGATTCTATAACATTCCCCAGAAAACCATTCCCCAGAATTCCATTCCCCAGAAAAGCATTCCCCAGAATGTACCATTACCCAGAATGTACCATTCCCCAGAAAAGATGATTACTTTTTTTTTGGTCATTTGATATTATATTTCAGTTTTATACTATAGAACAGGCGTCCATAAATAAACAGGTCCGCAAGTATCTTGCACACTGAATAATACATCTTCTGAATACCAATTTTCTCGATAAATTTTACACATTTGATTTAATATATTTACGAAAAACTATTGATTATATATTTTCCTTATATATTAAAAGAAGGGAATATTCCCTTCTTTGTCGTATATCCAAAGAATTAATTATTTCTTTTTGTTATATTTTCAAAGAAGGGCATTATCCCTTCTTTATCATATATTTAACGAATTAATGATGTTCTCTTTTATATATTCAAAGAAGGGAATATTCCCTTCTTTATCGTATATCCAAAGAATTAATTATTTCCTTTTCTTATATATTCAAAGAAGGGAACCCCTTAAGGTTCAATTTACTTTGATGCTTTTTGGAAAATTTCAAACGCAGTTTTTTCCGACGCATTATTTCAAATTGCAAAAAACTCACACTATTCGATTCCTTTTGATATTTTACACAAAATGAAGCGAGTTTTTTTGCAATCTAAAATAATGCGTCGAAAAAAACTGCTTTTGAATTTTTAAAAAATGCATCACAGTAAATTGAACCTTAATCCATTAAGAAGTTTTTCTCTTCTTTTTATATACGCGAAAGAAGATTCCAGGAGTGACTATAATAAACAAAAATAGTCAATCTAATACATGGCATACTTTTCTAGGAAATGATACATTCTGGGGAATGGTTCATTCTGGGGAATGGTTCATTCTGGGGAATGGTTCATTCTGGGGAATGGTGGATTCTAGGGAATAGTTTTCTGGGGAATGTTATAGCATCTTTTAAAGTTTATACCGTATTAGTATTGGGCCGTGATATATTCAGTGAAAATCAGTATCCGAGGAACTACTGTAGTTAGGGGCGCCAGTGGTGTAGTGGTTAAGCGTGATTGCCTCTCACCCCAGTCGGCGCCGTCGGGATGTTCTGAGGCATAACATCTCTGATCACGCCTGACCCGATCACAGGGAAGTAAAGCCGTTGGTCCCCGGTTCATGAGTTGATGGGTCGATAGGTAGGGTCCAGGTGTGGGAGCTGCCTTCCTGGCGTCGGTAGCATTGGTGCTCAGCACGGAAAACAAGATCGATGGAAAACAAATCTAGGAAAAAAAAGCTACTGTAGTTTATTAAACACTTTATTAATTGAGGATTAGCAACAAAAATGCTCTCTAATTTTTCGGGCGCCAGGGGGGGAAAATAGGAAAAAATGGAGTGAGTGATTTACAACGTTCATACGCACACACACGAATAGAGAGTGTGAAATATACAGCAAGTGAAGTGTGGAGGAAGCGAATGAACGAAAAAATCGTTCCCACCAATACAGGAAAGAGTGCTCAGGCCACGAAGTTTCCGTAGTGCAAGGAGGGTCGAAATAGTAAGAATAAAACAGAAAAGAAAAATATGCTCACAGTGGTAGTGTGATTGATCCATGGTTACTTGAAAGGCGCTGTTATTTTGCGTGTGCAGTGGTAAAAAAGAGAGCAAAGAAAAGAGCGGGAAAAGTGAATCAATTTCTACGAACGTACACACGGCTAGCAGTATTCGAATGGTTCTAGCGGTGCTTGCGCTGCGTAGAGATTCTGGAGCGGAGAGGGCCGATGTAACGAGAGGGGAAGTGCGTGTATCAGACAAAGAGAACACTCTCAGTGGAACCAACTTATCTAGGCTGGAGCTTAGGAATACAGATAGAAGGCATTCTATGTGATTGTATGACTGCGAGTTTTCTGTATGGGAAAGTGAAAAACGTGAGAATGAATGTATTGAATAGCCGGGCGCCGGTGGTGTAGTGGTAAGCGTGACTGCTTTCTAACACCCCAATGGGTCTGGGTTCAATCCCAGCCGAGGTCGGTGGGATTTTTCTGAGGCATAAAAATCTCTGGTCACGTTTTCCTTCGGAAGGGAAGTAAAGCCGTTGGTCCCGGCCCATGGTGTTAAATGGGTGCGATATCCTACGCAGGTGTGGAAGCTGCCTTCGATTGCCGTCAATGGATGGCAATCGATGTCCGTCGGTGATTGGCAGTAGATTGCGGAACAGAGACCGACGTTAAATAAAGGAAAGAAGAAGAAGAATGTATGGAATGGAAGCGAATCGAGTATCTAGGGTAAGTTACGTTTTCTGGACTATTTGGATTACGAGGAATTATGGTAAGTGATTTTAATTTAATCTTACGCTGTTTCTTTTATGATATTTTTCGGCTGCATTGGCCGGATTAGCGCTGGCACTCTGCCTCCCGGACGTTTATACGTGTGTGATTGGTTCGCTTGAAAAAAAAGCGTTTTCGAACGAAATTGTTTTGTGTCCCGGGCGCAATAATTTGATTTGAACGGCGCTGGTCTATTGTTAGGGGTTTACTACACAGCAAAAAAAAATAATATCGATCAAGTAATTCAATGTATGAAATAATGATGTAATAGCAAAAAGCAGATACAATATTACATCAATGGATGTAATTTTGTTCGCAAAATCGATGTACATCGTACAACGTTATATTACACAATCGATGGATTGACCTGGTTACAGCAGTTTGTATGTAATATTCAACAACTTTTTTTCTGTGTATGTGCATTGCTTTAGTGCACAGAGTGACTAGAAAAAGAAAAGTCCCGTATTGGGCTTTGGCCGGAGTGGACGCGACGCGACCAATTGAAGAGAATCTTATCATTTTTTATTAACGTCGTGTAAGAGTAGAATTTAATTAGGGCATGGGCGCTTTTTCGTGGCTTTTTTGTTTCCAGGTTAGGAGGATCGTCGGTGGAAGAGGCTTGTTCTTGTGTGGGGGGCGGCGCCGTGAAGTTTGAGTTTGAATGGATCCCGTGTCCCATTATATTATTATTATATATTCAATGTTAAATATTTAAAACAGGATCAAAACAAACTGGAAGAAGCAAAGTAACATTGTTTGATTTTCTCTAATGTATGTATAACGTTTATAGTGCAATTAACCATTCTATTTTTCCTTTCCAGGTGACAAAATTACATTACTTGTTGATATATTTATTTGTATACTTGTATAAATACTTATTTAATCAGATTCGGAATATGAGTGATGAGGGAACTTTATGTGTTCGCGGGTCCTCCGTTTAGGCTGGATTTATTGATTTAAATCTTTAAGTTTACTTTCAGCTCTTCGATGATGGAACATTTTTAAATTAATATTATAATGATTCACTTATATCAGCCTTCGTTCAGGAAAATACAAAAACATTGTAATGCATGATTAAAATTGCATGAAAACTGTTAACTGTCCAAATAACCTCGATTTTTCTGACTATTGATTCTTTATTAAAGTTTACCAATATTTTTAAAAACATTCCATATTGCGTTAAACCATTCCATGGTGCATAATAAAGTGTTTGTTTCAATTCCAATAAAATATCAAAAATTGAAATCAGTTAAATGTACTGAGGTTAACTTAAATCGAGCTTATGCGTATTTTGTAATACTTGTTTATTTTACATGCATTATATTTTATATATTGCATGACTAGTAAATTATTTTTATTTCACGTATTTAAAATCTCATTATATCATTATAACTATAATTTTCATTTACAGAAAATAGTTGTCCTACAGATGGATCAGAACGTGTATCAAATAGAAAATCATTGTTATTTACATTTTATTTTATTATTATATAATATCATCTATGGTTTTCAGAATTTGGACTACCCAGAGAATAAATTGAATATCATCATACATTAGGCCAATGTTTTTAAATTGTTTTACTTTTGCAGAGTTTTGCTATTTCAAGAATTATTCATTGATACTTGTTT